CGGGGCCTGGGCGCCGAGCCCGCAGTCATCCCCGGCGCGGGCCGTGGGCGCAGCGGCGGGCGCTCGCAGGGCCGGCCCGCGGCCCGCGCTCCATGCCGCGCGCGCTGTGCTGGGCGGGCGCTGTCCGGGCGCCGCCGGGCGCTCGCGCCTTCCTCGGGGAGCCGGGGTCTCGGCGCGCAACTTTGTCGGCCCCTCTCCTCGCCGGGCGGGGGTCGCGGCGGGCGCTCCTAGTGCGCGGGTCGCAGCTCTCTCATTGTGCGCCAGCGAGGCCGATCGGGCTGTCCTTTCCTCGCGCACTTAGTCTAGGAGGAAGAAAGCAAACAAGACAGAGGAGTGAAGCCCCCGTACATACATGCGCCGGGGGATGTCAGCGCTGCTCCACCTTCCAAACAGTCACAGATCAAACAGTGTCACCCGCCGGAGCGCCACTTTGTGCCCCGCGCTGCCCCTGGGGGGCTTGGCTGCCAGGATCGCCGCTGCCTCCGAGGCGAAATCTAATGCAAACACATTTCGAGCATGGATTTTTGGTCGGTCTTGATCTTCCAACAGAAAAAATTTGAAAAATATACAAAAAGCACCCCCCTCAAAAAAAGAAGGAAAAAAAAAACGCCAACAACAACAACCCGGAGAGTATGTGCCAAGGGGTGAAGAGCAGACATTCACTGGATGGGCGAGGTAAGCGTGGACTGTCCCCCCCGCCCCAAACTCCTGGGAGAGAAGAGATGCACTCTCGCTCTCTCCTCTTTTCAGTGAAATATAACACACATTCGGATCGCAGAGCTTTCAGACAGTCTCAACTGATAGACAGACACATCGAGCTGCTTTTCCTGCTTCAGTTTTTACTCCTCCTCCTCTCGCCAACGTCACCCTGACAATTACAAATAGGTCTCACACAAACCATACCTGTCAATCTTTTTAATTGCTTTGTTTTCTTTTTTTTTTTCCCCGGAGCTAAACAATATGACACAAAAAAGGAAATCTTAATACAGCATAACATAAAAGATTGCACGTTGGAGGAAGACATTCAGAGATTGTTATTGTGATCCACTGGCTGATCCCGGGTAGAACCCATGTGTTCTAAGCCAAGTTAAGCAGACATTAGTCCCTGCAGATTCTCAAACCTGTTAGTTCCCCTCCCCCCTCTAGAACACGCATACACATGCGACCACGTGGATTCAAACCACCCTTGGGTGAAGTATGTCCTACATTTGAGAAAAAATACCTGTGTCACTTTTGCAATCCTAGTTTGGAGATTAGACTTAGCTGGGGAAGGGCACTGTGTGGCTTTTATATTTTGGCAATTCATGGGTATATGGAAAACAAGAAATGTTTTTAAATTAAAATATACAACTTAAATAGAAATTTAAAGATGAGCTTTGCTCATCACAGACATGTGTAGAAATATTTAATTGGGCCCCTCTATGAAACGTGAATTGATTATTTAGTCAATGCACGCAATTAGGGAGAAAATTGACACGATGAAACGACATCTTTCTGGCTGGGTTAGAAAATGAGGTCTTCATACATCATTGCAACGTCTCCAGTTCCATTAAGCTCCTCGGCGGCACCACCTACAACTTTAAAATGTTTATGTGCTCTGGGAATTTTGCCCTCTAGTTTCAGTTTGTGTGTTCTCTCCCAGTGGGAAACCTGTAACCGTCTTGTAGAGCTACTTAAAACATTCATGGAAAAGCACAAAATCTAGGCCAAGATAAATAAAATGGCTTAGTTCGTGCAACTTGCACGGGACAGACCGAAGGCTCCAGGCGCGGTGAGGCGTTCTCCTGACAGGAGGCCCTAGCCAAGGCTCAGGGTGCAAGGAGAGCCCTCACCCCGCTGCTGGAGCTAGTGCGCGCTCACCGGGGCGGGGGGCTCCCTGCTCGGCCCAGGCCCCGGCGTGCCCCGCCGCCCCGGCCGCGCTCGGGGTTGATTCGTACCACCTTGCAAGGAAGTGAACGCTTCGCACGGGAAGGGGAGGCGCCTGCGCCGGCCGCCGGGCGCCGCGCCGCTCGGGGCCGCCGGGGGCCGCCGCCGCTCGGGGCCGCGGCAACCGCCGGAGCGCGGACCCCCACGCTGGCCGCCCCCCTCCCCCGGAGAGTCAAATCCGGCTCCCGAGCGTGGGGAGGGTGGGGATATCCGGTGCCTCTCCCGCGCCGGGAGGAGGGGGAGGGCGGAGAGGCTCCTCGGCCAGTCTGCGCCGAGCAGATTCAAACCAAAACAAAAAGATTAAAGGAGCTGCGCCGGGGCGGCCTCGGTCCCCGGCTGGGACGCGGGAGCAGGCGCGCCCGGGCTCCGCCGGTGCTGCGCCGACGCTGAGCGCGGCGGGCCGGGGGCGGGGACCGGAGCCGGGTGTCTAGGGAAGGGGGAGCGAGGGGAGGGCGCCGGCCAGAGGAGGGGCGGACCCGCCCGCCCGCGCCGAGCCGAGTCGGGCGGCCCAGGCTGGGCGTGACCCCGCCGGCTTCAGCGCGGAGAGCGGGCGGAGGCGAGCGAGGGCTATGCTGCGGCTGGCGCACGGCGGGGCTCGGGCCATCGTGGACTTGTCGTACGCCCGCCACTTCCTGGACTTCCAGGGCTCCGCCATCCCCCGAGCCATGCAGAAGCTGGTGGTGACTCGGCTGAGCCCCAACTTCCGCGAGGCCGTCACCCTGCGCCGGGACTGCCCGGTGCCGCTCCCCGGGGACGGAGACCTCCTCGTCCGGAACCGGTGAGCCCGGCGCGCGCCCCCGCCCTGGCCGCAGCTCCCGGCTGTCCCGGGCCGCCCGCGTGCCCACACTGCGGCGCGCGCTTAGGCGCACAGCCTGACTTTGCGAGATCCCGGGAAGTTGAACCCGCCGCCATCTGGCGAAGGCGAATGTAATGTGACTTGCTAGTGTGAATATCCGATGCCACCGAACGTCCTCATAACTGGGGGTTATTTTAATTTGGGATTCCCCTCCCCTCCTCCGCAGCCCTCCCTCCTCCCCCTCCCGCTCCCGAAATAAAACCGACGAGATCCAGAAGGGGAGGCTCCCCGCCCGGCCCACCCGCGCGCACCCACGATTCCTGCGTTGACATATCTTTTAGTGGAGCAGGAATAACCCGGACACAAACTGCGACGTTTAGGTAAATGTGCTTTGAAGGAAGGGGGCCAGGAACTGGCTAGCTTTTCCTGTCCGCTGCAGCTTGGCAACCGTCTAGCTATGGCGGAGTCTGTCCTTTCGCGTGTTGAGTGTACCTCGCCGTTGTCGTCTGCGTGTTGTCAGTGCTGTGTGACTGTTGTCTGTCCCCTGAGTGCAAGGATAGGCGCGTGGCGTGTGTCCAGGGCAGCTGGGCCGGGCTGGGCCAGGGGTATGGCTGCGTTTACCCGCATGTTTTGCAGACTCGACCTTCTGTCTTTTCCACCCCCATGCTCCGCACCTTAATGTGTTTCCACCTCACTAATCTTTAGTAACTGGTGAAGCGACAGGAAGGAAAGAGTCCTCACTGTGTCGGAGCCATACCACCCGCGTCTCTGCGCGGTTAGGTCCCTTTGCTGCCCGACTTGCAGGCTGCAGTCCTCTCTGCCCTTTGGCCTGCCAAGTCCCATCTGAAGGGTTCCAGCGGTTCCAGCGTTGCATGGTTGCATGTTTCAGGTTGCATAATATTGTTGAAAGGAAGAGTTCGTTCTGATGGTAACTGGGCTGTAAATTGTGTGCTAGGAAGTTCTGTAAGTCCCCTGCGAGGTCGGAAGGACAAAATGTACCCGGTCCAAGTAGCTCCATGAAGCGTTTAATCAGTCCAGTTTAGAAATCCATCAGCCTCCCACACTAGAGTGTAGGAATGAAGAATACTGGTCATGATTCGAAACTTTTGGAAACCTGTTGAAAACTAGTAATTGAGTGAGCCAAGGAGTGAAAATGGGGTGGGGGTCGGTAGGGAGTGCTTTAAAGGGCGGTGTTTGCTTGTGTGCATGTAGTGTGTGTATGTGTATGTATCTCCTTGAAGCTGTCTGCTTTGGTCGACCTCGGTGCAAAGGATTGCTTCATTGTGTGATGCAATGCTAAGGCTGTTGAGAGTAAGAACATTCTCTCTGCCGAGTTAAAAAATAGGTTTGAGTATGTGTTCACTTAGAACATACAGAGTGTACCATAATGTGCTGGAAGTTGAGTTGAGACCAGACTAAAAAGCTTTCCAAACAAACAATAGAGGAAAAGTTACATGCAAGCTTTTTTTTTTTTCTTTTTTGTGTGTGATGTTGTAGAGCATAGACTGTAAACTCTAATATAAACAAAACTGTGAATAAAACACCTTTTAGAGACGGGTGTGTAATGGGGAGAGGGTAGTACAAGACTGGCAAGGGGAGTTATCAATTTGGAAAACCACAAGTAATGTGGAACTGCCCCTATGATGGAGGCTGCTTGGCTCTGCTCTGGGCTCCAGGCCTCCCGGGCCTCTCTACCTGCTAGGGTTAACTCTGTTAACTCTTCAGAATCTTTCTTTCTCTCGTCTGCTCCCTTCAAGCTTTTGGTTGCTCTCACCTCCCTTTCCTCCCCCAAGGTTGCTGTCTCTCAGGTGCTGCCATGTGTCCAGGGTCACCAGGGTTGGTCCCAAGGTCAGGGCAATGTGGACCCCTGAGCCCGTGGTCTGAGCACAGGAGCACTGGCTCCCATGTATGTAGCCCATCAGTTTTGGTTGCTTTAAAATCCATGCCTTTTTTTTTTCCTTCCACATACAGTCTACATCAAGAATCCCTTTAATATAAATAGTATATTTATCTGAACAACTTGACCTTTGACTTGTACCTTGAATCTAAAATAGGAAAAAAAAAAAAAAAAAAAAAAAACCAGAGCCAGTTTTCTGCAAGTTAGAAAAGGACAGAATCTTTACTTCCCTCTTTCCTTACCCTATTGGAAACTCTATTCCATACTGTAGGAAGGGCATTTATTCTTGCAAACCATGTCAGTGAAGGTAGCATCTTACAGATTTTTTTTAAGGAATGGAGGCTTCATAATTCAGTGCAGGTTAGTTCATTTTAATCCTAGATCAAATCTCCCCTGTGCAGTGTTAATTGCATTAAAAATTTATGCAGGTGCTTCTCATTTTTATCATAATAAAATCTACCTTGGAATGAATGCATTAAGCCCAAATTTGGAAGGGTGTTTGGGGATTTGAGTTGTGTTCCAACCATCTTTTGCTTTGAGTGAACCACTTGCATATCCCATTCCATCTAGTAGAAAACAAATTCTTCATTCAAAAAGAGGGCAGTACTTGTAAGCTGGACATGCTTTAGGGTAATAAAGTTTACCATTGAAGAAAGGTGTGAGAAGGGGTGTATAAAATCCTTCCGGAATGGGTCATTGATGTTCCTTTATCCAAGTCCTCACCTTACCATGTGTAACTTCCCACCTCCCCCTCCATGCTGAGCCCTTGGAAAAGAGGGACTAGCACCCACCTCAAGTTGGTTTGTGTGCTATTTTTAGCTTTTTCGTAAGAAGGTGACAGATTATTCCGTTTCCAAGTATTTCTAACGATTTTCGGCTCAAGTGTAAGATAATGGAGCCAAGAGTTTGTAGGAATGGTGAAAGGAGGTGGGGGGATGGGGTAGTTTTTTTTTGATAAACGGTTTGTTGCTCTAGGGAGGGTAAAAATATTTCTTCTCCAGTGTAGTTGTTTTTCTTTCTTTCCTTTGTAGTTTGTCTTTTATTCTTTCTCTTTGTTTCTTATTTTTTTTCTTTTTAAGGAAAGTCAGGTTTGAACGACTTTGTT